ACTATAAGTGTTTTTCTTTGACATTCTGTTGGAATGATAAACTGTATGATCCTATAAAACATAAATATACCATAAAAACACAAACATCCTTTCAAACGTTAATTTTATTACACTGAAATGAAACTTAATAATACCATATAATTCATCAAAAACATACTTTTATTTTACTAAAATCAAACTTAATAATATCTTCAAAACGACGAATTTGATGAATTTCTTGTAGTTCTATGGCTTTCTTCAATCCAAAGGACAGTTCCTGCTATCATGACCAAATCCAAAAGCATTATTTTACATCTTCTTTGTCCTTCACAACTTCATTCACCGGATTCTTGGGATCATTGACATACCCAGATCCTTCCCGGGATTCTAATCTTCATTATCGTGCAAGATTATCAGATTTGATACATATGTATATGCAAAAACAGTAAAAGGGTGTGTGGGGGATGTTTGAATCGAATCTTCATTATCACGGTCTGATGTTGTTGTTAATAATGTATGAATACCTGGTTCCGATTTCCAGTATGAACATCCATCAATTGTGTAAAACAAATTGATTATCAGCTAATGGAATCGACAATTGTGATCTGTTTGTGGGGAATCAACAATTGTCATCTGTTTGTGGGGAACGTTTGAATCGAGTATATAAAGAAAATTAAATTAAGATAACTAAATCAATCATAAATCATTGCCTAATATAAATGGATAACAATCAGACTAAATAGAGAATTAAAATGAAAGATTACATAATTACCCTTATATATTTAATAAAATAATTAATAATTTGCTTAATTGTGATTGGTGCATCCATGCACACAATATTTGTTGGAAACATTTGAACATAACTATATATCTATATATATATATTATATATATATATATATATATCTATCTATATATATATATATATATATATATATATATATATATTAACCTCCCATTGTAAATCCGTGTATAATATCTTTTTTTACGGATTATACCACATTATTTATTCTATGCCTTCCTCCAAATCTCAACCGTCTAAACTCGATGTTCTTTCAATTTAAGCCGCACATAAACTCCAATTTGGCGGTTTTTTGCAGTTCAGCGATCGGTTTCTACCCTCCTCCTCCTACCTACGATTGCTTCCATGTCTTCATAATCGATAACTGCTACAATCACGTCGTACAAATCGGCCTATATAAGAGTTCAATTTCAATGTATTTGCTTCAATCGTTCCATCAATTGTCTCAATTGCTTCAATCATTTGATCAATCATGGAGCATAAATCGACTGCGTCCATGTCGGTAACTCGCTGCATCAGTTCGTCCTCATCCGCCTATAAATTGATGGTTCGCTGTTAGATGTTTACAGCTTCCAAAGACTTCTTCAACCATCACGATACAGAGGCTTCTTCGGTTTATAACTCCTTCCACTTTGCAACTGTAACGTTGGTTACCGGCGATACTACGTTCATGATTCAACTGATCTTCTCCGGCACCCACGATCTCCTCCATTCAAAATTGATTAAATCGTTGGTTTTATTATAATGTTCAATCTAACTATCGTTTATTTTTGGGAATTTGCTATGTTTTTTGCTATACGGTTTTCATTTATAATCACTTGCATAATGATTGAAAACCATAGAATGTCTCTCAATCCAAACGCCAAACCTTCTTCTCTTCCACTTTACAGGCGTAAATTATATGTTTTCAATCCTCCACTGCTCTCAAGGTAAGATTCTCTCTTTCAATTCTGTCAAATTTTTCATATCTTAAGAAGTTGTACTCATTCATATCCTTCATACGCTTGGATTTGTTCCCGTTAGGTTAGCTGTTGATGAAATGGAGCAACATCAAAATCTCCTGATTTGTTTTAAAACCGGTCAATTTTTCTTCCTTCAAGTATTGAATTTGATGCCAATTCGTTGTATGTATCTCGTGAACTCTAGAACTAAGCGATTTCTAATGAATTATTTTTTTGATTGGGTGATTTCTAATGAATGTTGCTTATGTGTATGATTCTGAAAAGGATTTGACATATATACCTTCAAATCACATCTTATGAAGTAACTGTATAATGACAGATTGAATGGTTGGCTGTGTATGATCTGTTAAACAGTCGATTTTAATTACAGACTATTAGAGTGAAAATCTGGCTTACAAGATGGCTCTTGGATTGCATAAGGTATCAAGCTATTTTATTAATTTTTTAAATGTGTTGAAAGACTAAGTTGTTTTATTTATGTTTGCAGGTTTTTTTATATTTTGTCTTTTTCAGTATCTTTTTATTAGTATTATTAAATTTCTATTACAACTATTTTCTTGCTACCTATTGATGACTAACAGATGTTTATTTCAATTGATATTTTCTTTCATTGAGATTTATATAGAGATTATTGTTGAGGAAGTTCTTTTTCAAGGAAAACAACAAACAGTGGCCATGAAGCACCGAGTGTTGGCAAGGTTAGTTTAGTCTTTTCTTAAGAAAAACAACAAACAATGGCCAAGAAGCACCAGGTGTTGGCAAGGTTAGTTTAGTATTTTTCTCAACTCTTATTTGACATTTCTCAAACACACACACACACAGAGAGAGAGAGAGAAAGAGAGGAGAGAGAGAGGGAGAGGAGATTAGAGGGAGAGAGCGACAGAGAGAGGAGAGAGAGAGAAGAGGGGAGAGAGGAGAGGAGAGGAAGAGAGAGAGAGAGAGAGAGAGAGAGAGAGAGACACATTGTGCATAATATTTGAAATTGTGATTTTTTGTTGATTTTATGAAATAGTTGTGAGTTTTGAACATTAATTGAAATGGCTGTGAGTTTTGCACAATATCTAAAGTGATTGCAATAATTTTAAGAATTGTAATTTATACTTCATCTAAAATAGCAATGTGATTATTAACTTTTCACGGTGTTTACCCATGTAGGAAAAAGTTGGGAAGAACATCAAGAAACCTCATATTCGAGAAATGTGAGATCAAAAAAGAGCTAATAAGGTAACTCACCTTTATCTCAATCTTTCTTCTTTTTGTAGGAGTTCATGAATTGATTTTATAGGCACCACATGGATCTGTAGTTATGTATAAAACTGGAAGGTTAGAAACGTCTTCCATGTATGAACATAACATTTTTTTAAGTTGAATATAAGGTTTGAGTTAGACCTTATTATCGGTAACCATGGGACATCTTTTAAATCATGTGAATCTGACTATTGCAAATATCCCTACAGATGGGTTAGTCTATAACCTTTTAATTATGTGTTATCTTTTTTTATTTTAATATAGTTTTCCATGTTATTATGGATATCATAGATTTAAATAAAAATTTCAGTACAAATCCAATACAAGTTGTTGAAAAAACTTTCCAGCTTAGAAAAGCAGACATGGATTTGTTGGCAAAACCAGAGTCTGAACTACAGGTTGCTTTTATTAAGCTTTATCAACATATTTTTTGATGATTAATTACATTTGGCATGGGCATAAACAAAAATTATTTAAGAAAGGAAAGAATGGAAAAAATATGGTAATTTTTAACATATTTGAAGACATCATACTAAACTGATAGTGTTTAAGAATGGGTATTTGGGATTTGATAAGGAGATAAGAAGTATGTGGAGAAAATGGAAAAAATTAACTTTTTTTGATGATGAACAGAAAATATTGGAGTTTAAACAAACTTTGGGTTGAAAATTAGTTAATTGGTGGTGGTTTGGTTGCAACTGGAAGGGGATTGGTTTTTTTGGAATAAAATATAAAGGGTCAGGAATGAACCGGTGTGAGAATAAGAATAAGGGACATTATGGTCTTTTTTTGGTTAGTGTCAAACGTGACAGGTCTTTTCTTGACAGTTGGTAATATGAATGATCGAAATTATTGCAGGCATAAGGAAATGAAGAATTTGTTTGCCATGTCTCTTCTTTGGACTGAAAATGATAATAAAGGGTATTATGGTCTTTTTTGGTTACACTTAATTGTGATAGATGTTTTCAAGACAGTGTGAAGCTTCGAGTCCATGGTTGGCATGGGAAAAGGAGTCTGTTTGTTGTTTTAAAGATTTGGTGCAATAAAAGTTTTAAGGGGTATTTTGGTCAATTTCTAGATTTTTATAATAAAATGGTTTTTTCTCAAGATCGCTTTTGGAGTAATTTTATTTGTTGGATTCCACAAATCAAGAGCAAGTGGATCAAGGGGTATATATATATTCTTTATAACAATTTGAATGGTATGGAAACATGGAACATTGAAAGAGTTAAAAGGGAATATTGGCTTTTTAACGTAAAAGAAATATGATGGAAAAAGACAAGAGGAAAGTTTGACTTCTTATTACTTTTAAAAGCTTACTGAGGTGTACTTATTGCATCATCAATTTTATTTGAAATCTGGTATTGGAGAAATACCAAGTGGAAAAAGTGGAAAGTTGAATGGCATCATCTTTTAGTCATATTGTGATGTTATTTGGAGGATATGCAATATTCAATTTAATAATGTCATGAAGTATTTGAGCTGTAATATTTTTTTATCAAAAAGTTTAATGGAAGGGCATTTATAACTTTTTGATCTTCATTTACAACTTTGTGTGTATAGTCCAAACAATTAACATTTGAAAAGAACTTTTCCCTGTTAGGGTTGAGTACAATGGAATTCCATACTCCTTTTCTAGAGGTACATGAAATAAGGCACTCGTATATGTTCAGGAATTTGTGTAATTCCATCCTTCTATGGAACACAATTATAGATATTTTTTCAAGAGATAGAAAAATAATTGGATAGATTTGTCATGTACATAACTAATATATTGTTTATACATTTGTCAACCTGTCACTATACTGTTTACATGGATAAGATTAATTTGTGAAATTCATTTTATTACTGATTAGAGTTATCTTGTTGATGGCTTTGGACAGCTATAAAAATTTAAAATGTATAAAAAGGTGGGGAATAATGTTCTCAAAAATATATAGTTTCACATATAAATATATTTCAATGATAGACGTAAATTCTACATCATTGAAGAAGATATTACAATGATTTCAAGAGTATAGCATACGTTTCGTTGACTTAAAGAGGTATTTTGAGCTATATGTCAAGAGAAATACATCAAGTTGAAGTTGCATTTGCATAAAGGCAACTACTTCGACTACGAGGAATGAAAATGATGTGATCAGGATTGGTACCCATTTGAAATTTTTATTATAAAGTAGGAAGAAGCTCGCACAAAATGCAATCATCATGGCCGCAACAGAGAAAAAGAGTGCTCCAAGACCCGCAAACAGCTTTTTGGGCAACAATTCCAAGAAATCTTGTTCTGAATAACGACTTATGAACAAAGATAGCATGAAGAGAATCGATGTACAAGAAGATATTAATGAAATGGCATCTGCTATCACAAAAACCGTGAGGGCCATTTTTTGGATGAACATAGGAAGACCAGTGTCTTGATCATAGCCACCTGGAAGTGTAAACGCAGCTGCAAATACTACGGTTGCTACTAGTGCGGCCACCACCATACACTGCGGTGCTGTTTCCTTCATCCACTTCTCACCATCGACAACTAGTTTTTCATGGCACCTTGTGAATATGTCATGTGGTGTTTCACCTTGTTTGTTCTTCCTTTGTCTATAAGCAAGAGGTATCATCTGCTTTACTTCCTGCAACACATGCAAATCCAGTCATTTGTAGTTTAGGAACTTAAAACTCAGATATAATAACATGTTCGCATCTATATCGTTCTAACAAACATATTGACATGTCTGCACATTGTATGTCAAGATAAAATGGGGATATAATTCATAATTATGTGTGGGGTCTTGTTATAAGTACAACCAAAGGTGAGTGCTTCTGTACTTACAAACTTCCTAGAATCCTTTAGTTCGGAAGGGCATAACACTGTGCGTATATACACAGTACAACTTATTTGCCTTAAAAAGATCAACATCACTACTACTAAATGTTATTTTTTATCACATACATAATTGTTCATTGATCAGATATGGTATTCATTCAGTAATTCAAAATAGTGGTTACAATTCATGTATGTATTAATCTACCTTTGAAATGAATTAAAATTGTCGATATGGAGAAATAAATAATATTCATTTTTATGAAAAGGTGTACCATGAACCATAACAACTCCTGTTGCATTTGTAGAGCAACTCCTGGTAGCTTCTGAAATTGTTTTGGCCCGATACTCTCCGCAAGTAAATGCAGCATATTGTTGCCATTTTCGTCTTCAATAGTTGTTATTTGCTCTTTGATTGGGCCTATCTCATATAACAAATTATAGATATTTACTTGTCGATGTTTAACAGCAATGTGAAATATAGTTAGCCCTTTGTCATCTACCGTCCATATTAGATCTGGATATGACTGAAGAATCACGATTATGAATCTCACATTACCCAGTTTTGCAGCAACAAAAAGTACCCGGGAAGGATAGATTACTTTTTTATGTTTCTCCTCTTCAATTTCCAAAGGTGGTCCTTGGAGTATCTGTTCAATCTCATCATTAGGAAATATGGAAATCTTATTCCAAATTAATTTTAAAAATTTCAAGGCTTCGCTTTCCCTCGTCGCATGCCCTAACTTCACTTCGCTTACTACAAACACAAAAAACAAAGAAGTCATCATACCATAAATATCGTGATAGAAAGTCCATAATCTATTACTTGGTTGATCACTACCTACAATCATATATTGATTAACAGAAAGGCAAACATGTGTGTCCAATCAAATTTTTTTTTTTTTTATAGTTTCATGTGACTAAAGTGAGAGATTAGCCTTTTATTATGAAAACGAGGGGTGTCCATTGACAACTTATCATCCATGTAGATTCGCCATTATACATGGAGCTTCACACATATCAGAAGCTACTAGTTGAGGTCCCCATATTATTATCATTGTTCTCTTTCCATGTCTTTATATACCATGTTTTTATGCCTAATGAATTTATGGTATTCCTTAGTTGCCTTTAATTTGCTTGTGTACTTTGGAAGTCGCAACAAATTATTGATGCAAATGGATTCACGTAGGACTCAGTCTGTAGTTCCTGCTTGAACAATTGAACCCTCTATTGAGGATCTCAAAACATGATTTTTCATCAAAAAGACCATAAACCATTTGCTGACATGAGGCTACGCCCATGTAATTCTATGCAAACACCCAACCTGTAAATTGCAATACTATGGCCTGATTGGCATAGGGGATCAGTGGTAGGGTATATTGTTAGCAACAGATATCAAATTTGGTTTCAGATCTGTTAAAGTTAAGCTAAACTCTCTTAATTACTAACATTTAATAAGTATTATGTTTCTGGTTAAAACGGTTACTATATATGTGACCCATTAATTGTGTTGGTTTGAATCGGTATAGTTTGAATCATAGCATTGGTTAGGAGACGTTGTAAAATTCACTGTTACACTATAAGAATAGTTATATGTATGTAAATCTGATGTAATTTTTTTGGGAGTTATAATGTTATATCAATTAAAGTATTTGTTTGTGTATAGGACCCATCCTCTAGTTGACTCCTTTTCTCTTATCTTTCTGGTACTTCTGTGTTCATCTAATGCTTCATTCCAACATAGTGGTATGAGAGGCTGAGAGCCTTGTTCTAGATCTAGAGATGAAGCATAAAACGCAGGTTTGATCAGAGGGGAGAGGGGTGAGGAAGAGTAATAACAAGACAAATAAGGGTATCATTTGCTTTATGAGGTTTTGTGACTTTTATGGTGGAGTTTCCCAATGGATCTCACATGGGGTGGGTGTAAAACCACTTTATTAAGCCCCCCCCCCCCCCCCCCCCCCCCCCCCCCCCCTAATGGTCAAGTATTTGAAATGCATGGTTGGTATATACTTAAGTTTTTTTTTTTTTTTTTTTTTTTTTTTCTTTTTTTTTTTTTTTGAACAGGAAAATGCATTAGAAAAAAAAAATCAAACCCAGCTGGGAGCTGGAACAGTACAAGAGAATGAATAAAATACAAAAATGAAGCTAAAACTACAAGGCCAACTAAAACAAGATTGCAAAATGGGAAATGAAACACAGGCCTTAAACACCAAGTACAAAACTGTTGAGGAGCTATATATTTGATTTGTTGTTTTTGATAAACCATCCAATTCACAAGGAAAAAAAGGTAAAACCTTGTTTTTTATATGATTTTTGCTTGGAAAGTGTGAACCTCCTTTTTACAGAGACAAATTGTAAAAAGGTTTCAATGTATGGTGTATGAGGCCAAGTGAAAAGATCTTAGTGTGAATTATGTTTGCTTGTTTGATGTCTGATATAAAGATGGTTGCTTCTATAGATGATGCTCTCCATAGCTACTTCAATGTTCAAAATTGGTGTTGAAGTAATGGTTTGAGGAAGGAGAATTGAAGAAGTTGAAGTGGAAACCGCTAATAGTTGGTGCCTTTAATCTGTTAAAGAAAAGGGTGGAATGGATCAAGCTTACCCTTAGTGGGAAGTGTTAAACTTAAGCTATACTCTATTAATTAGAATTTAATAAGTATTATGTTTCTTGTTTAAACAGTTCGTCTGAACCATTAATTGTGTTGGTTTGAATTGTGTTGGTTTGAATCGATATTGTTTGAACCCTTGCCTTGGTTAGGACTTAGGAGACTTTGTAACTGTCCAATAAAAGTCTTTGTTTGTGTATAGGACACATCCTCTTGTTGATTCCTTTTCTCTTATCTTTCTTATACTTGTGTTCATCTGTGTTTCATAGGACACATCCTCTTGTTGATTCCTTTTTCTCTTATCTTTCTTATACTTTTGTGTTCATCTATGCTTCATTCCAACTAGATCTACATGCAAACTTCTCCAAAAATCTTATAAATTTAAAATACGTGCCACAGGTAATAATTCTTAGAATCAACATAATGATCTTGACTTCTATTATATATTAAATTCTAACAGAAAAATTGTTTCATTATATGATTGTAACTATAGTTCATCTATGACCTAAACAAATTTTGGAATGATTAATCTTCTCCAACTTGTTAACAATATAGCCTTGCATATGGCCTCAAACTTTAATATCTATTAATTCTTCAAGCCATGGCCAACTCCCAAAAATTGGCATGAAGAATGAATGCATAATATCACTAATCACAAGCATTAGTAGATCATGGCTCTACAAAAATCAATCCCAGATTTCCAGATTACTTACTTGACTCGATAGGTGTTGGAAACGGTAAAATCGAGAGAATATTAAAAAACTTCTTATAACTAATTCCAAAAAAAGAGTAAAAAACAGCTTATAATATAGTTGTTACACATCCAAAGAGGAATTGTTAGTGATTAGGGTTTAGGCCCAAACCCTTCAGGGTTTAGCCATTAGGGTTTAGGTGTTCTTTATATATTCCTATGTAATTGTCGTCTTTGGAAATCAAGCAATCTATTATCTTACATGGTATCAGAGCTCTAGATTAGAACCCTACTGTTGACCACAACTCGTAGCCGCTGCCGTCCACCTCCGACGACATTTCTCATAGTCGTTGGAGGTGCCTTCATTATGTTTCTTATTTTTCCGTTTCTTCTCTTCGTCACCTAAATAATAAAACAGCTGGTGGCACCAAACCAACGCCCTTTCATCGGCTTCTTCTATTGTCTCGTCTACTTCTACCACCTCCACAGATGACATATGCCTCCTCACCTTCCGCCTCCTCCTCGGCTGGCCACTTCTTCAGATATCTTTTCTGATTTAGCCCCTTCTGATGTTGCAGCTGCCTCTCTCCGATGTCACCTTCTCCACCGAGTTGTCTCTGATCTACAGTCGTCTCTTTGTCTATCAACATTGCAGTCGCCGATCTCGCTGGAATTGGCTCCGTCCGCCGCATCTCAAGCCCTCTTTCTTTCTTGATGCCTTTCTCCGGACTTCTCTACCGCCGGTTGCATGATCGTCATCGTCGTGGCCTCTCTTCTCTTCTTCAACAACAAAATCGCTTCGAGTTGCCGATTCTTCTCTCTTCTTCTCCGACAAGTAGTTGATGTTAGCCGCCATCGTCAAAGCTCTACCACCACAGCTGCCACTATCTTCATCTAGTTTTTATGTTTTATCTTTATTGTTTATTTTTCCAGTTTAATCGTCCCCTCCCGATCAAACTGCAGGGGGATGTTAGTGATTAGGGTTTAGGCCCAAGCCCTTTAGGGTTTAGCCATTAGGGTTTAGGTGTTCTTTATATATTCCTATGTAATTGTCGTCTTTGGAAATCAAACAATCTATTATCTTATAGGAATGAAAAACAGATAATAGACTGCTTAAGGGGAAATTACTTACTTGACTCGATAATTCTCAAGATATTCTGTGGTTTTTTCTCTCTAAATGCATCAGTCTTCTGAGCCAAAACTAAGAGTACACCGCTGAGTAATTTCTTATTGGAGGTGAGTTGGGTGCAATCATTCACTATTTGTCCAGCAACATCTACAAAAGGTTCGGTGTGCGAAAATGTTATGATTCATGCAAAGATCATCCACACGGTTAGAGTTAAAGCATTAATTTTTGAACATAAAATGTATGGAAATGGGTCACTCTCTCTTATAATATATTTTTAATGATTCAAATGAGAAGATTTTAGTAAAATTAGTTATAGAAAAATGGTTGAATTGGAATGGTTAAATCTAATCAGGTGATAAAGTTGTTTTTATGGGGAGATGTGCTCAAGAACTATCCCAAGTTAATAACTGCCCAATTTGATCTAGAAATGCAGAAGAATAGTTATTAAAAAGTAGACGAAAAACAACCATTATAAATTATTAAGAGTTTGTAACAACTACTTACCATAGAGATCACCTTCGACACATTTTTTGAGAACCCAGCCCCGCGTCTCATTCGTCCAAAAGTCGCCAGACATTTTTTTAGAGATATCATAGAGACACCTCACCATATCGTAATTTTCACTTACAGCAGCCACATAAAGTGGCATCATACCTTGACTACCAGGGATTTCCAGCACAGCTTTGTTCTTTTCTAAAATTATTTTTGCTGTTTCCACATTTCCTACCATAGCTGCTAAACTGAAGGCAGTGTTATAACTTTTATTTTGTAATTCCATATCCTTCTTTTCCATCAATTTCACTAAATTTTCAACAAATTCTTTCGCATATTTGGTGCTTTCTGCAGCTGCTGCAATGTGAAGTGGTGTATCAAAATTTTTAGTGACAGCAAACCTTACTAGCTCAGGTTTTATGTCAAAGATGGCTTTAGCAACTATCCAATCCCCTTTCATTAATGCTTCAAAAAGTGGAACACAAATCTTGATGTAGTCTTCTCTAGTACCTTCACATAAGCAATTTCAAAAGCAAATTACTAGTAATTAGTTCCTCCGGGATAAATTTCCATGTTCAGATCTTCACTTTTACATAAGAATTAGCCAGAATATGGTTTTACTTTTCAGCCAAATCAACCTAAAAATGAAGCTTTCTAGAATATGCATACTAATATTTAGAAATCCACTGCAAATCAAATTCCATGGGCTTTACCCCCACGGCCCCACCGTTCCCCAGTCCTTAGAGGAAAAGCAGAAATGAAAAAAGAGTTAATGTCGTACACTGGTGATCAACTATTTTGATAATAAAAATTCGCTATTGTTTAAAAAAAAATATTTATCTCCATATCCAAAATGGCGACTTTGGGAATGTAAAATATCAATGATTTTCAATCGAATGCCCCATATATATATATATATATATATATATATATATATATATATATATATATATATATATATATATATATATATATATATATATATATATATATATATATATATATGGAGATAGTGAATATGAGGCTATTATATACATAAGCTTAGGTGTGGAACCTATCAAAACTACTCATTTTGATACATAAAAATAAAAATTAAACACATTCTACCTTTATTTTTCTTTTATTCTTAAAAATCTTAAGAATTGGACTTCATCTTCTTGTTTCACATTTTTATTTACAAGAACCGTTCATCATTATTCTTTGCTTCTGAAAATCATAATGATAGGATTTCATATATCTCATGACGTTCGATTTTTTTATTTGAAATCACTACATCACATTATCATTATGCGTGTATCCGTACATAGCAAAATCCAACTAAACTAAAGATGTTTAGCAATTAAATCATTGAAAGATGGAAATCATATTTAACACACAAATGAAATCATATAACATGTGGTAAAATTCAATTGGGTAGCATATCAATACGTGTCCTGTAACAATCAAGTTTTTTTTTTTTTCAATTGGACTGTGGAAACATTAAACTTAGTTGAGACTTGGTTTATAATTTATAAGTAAAAGAAGACGACGGTGATCGAAAACAATTAATTTCCAGAATTATTGGCAAAAAGTTTTGAATGATGGGAGAAGAACAATATAATGAAAGATGAAAACCGAGAATATAGATTACCTATTTTAAAGTGGTATGTGGGGAAGATCTTTAGATACTAAAAATAAGGAAATCAAAATACTAATTTGTTAGGATTTATATCAAAACTACGTAGCTTTGATTGGTTCCACACCTAAGCTTAGATATATAACAGCCTCATATTCATTTTTCCCTATATATATATATATATATATATATATATATATATATATATATATATATATATATATATATATATATATAATTTGTTTAAACTAAGTATTGTGTTATCGTATGCATAAATATGGGCCAATCAAAATTAAATAAAAAATTAAATAATTAAATAATTAAATAAGGGTAATTTAGTAATTTGTTTAGTAACTTCCAAAATTAATCCCTATAATCATGGTATTAACCTAATCTCTCCAATTTAAATCATGGACTACAAAATCGATCTCGTTCCCCGTTCTACGTTTTTTGCTTCTGGTTTGTGTATCGTCATTTTGACCGATCGGGCACAGGGGAAAGAATGAGATGAAAGCTGTGGGAGATCGATGACATAAATTGAGGGGCACCGGCCGACCGACTATCACCGGCGTTTTCTTTCTTTTCTTTCTGGCCCGATCAGCAGCCACACGAATGGGGAAGGCAAAGAAGATCGCTGATCTCCAAGGGGGTGTTTTAGGTGGTTTAATCGACTGAATCAGATGGAGAGGAAGGTGAAGCGAGGGCAGCAAGGGTTGATTAGCAACTCTCCGCTTACTCTCTTCTGATTCTAACAGCGAGGGGTGAGACCAGAAGAGGGTCCGACGACAGATGGGGCTTCGGTGGCATTGGCTCGACGGAAGAATACACCGTTGGGGATTCAATTGAATTTTGGGAATTAGGGTTTTCAGAAATTTGGATTGACAGAAATATGCAGCCGGAAATGTCAGAAGCAGCCGCTATACAAAATATGACGAGGGTTCCTGGCAAGAGACGTAGGAATGAGATTCCGCATGAGATAATCGAGGTTAGTCAGGATGAACTGATGAAGAATCGACCATGAGAAGACCAAGTCAAATCAACTGGAATAGCTTTTGGGCCCTCATATCAGGTAATTGGTTATATTTTCTTGGTCTCATAGTAAGAAGTAAGAACCCTGTTTCAATTTGTAAGATTGAAAATGATTTTGATGTTCTAGAATTGTACTTATAGTCTCCTATTCTGGATTATTTTCAGCCGGCTTCTTCAGGGAAGGGGAAGCCAACGAAGCTGCACAAGAGGAAACATCAGATTGGATCTTTATACTTTGATATGAGATCTAAAGAGATGGAATTGGCAGAAAGGCGCTCAAAAGGCTTTCTCACAAAAAGCAGAAACACAAGCCAAGTATGGATGGTAATAAACTCATAACTTTTTTGTATGTTGCATGTTAATGTTGTGTCAATTTTTCTTTTACAAATGAAAAGCGCTGCAAAGATTTTTGCTTTGTTTTCTGAAGAGCTCGTCAATGTTTCTGAAATGGAATCATGAATTCCAATTCTGTTGGAATGGAATCATGAATTCCAATTCTATTGGAATCTAAACTACAATTTGGTTTTGTTTTGACAGAAGTTGATGCTTGAAGAACGGACCGCAAATTTGAAAGTGATTCTAAGCATTCTCATAGAATATTATTCTTACATGATTTGATTCATGACAGTTATTTTCGTTAAATGTATAATTTCATGGATGATCAAGGAAAGAGTTATTCTTCTGATAGAATAATCTACAATAGAATGATAGGAGTATATGTAATAATATATTCTGGTAGAATATTATGGTCGAATAATATACATATTTTATTTGTTATTAGTGAGTATTTCATTGTCATAGACTATTATATAAAGTTTTTACTTTTTTAAGAATATAATGAAAAATTTGCAGTTGTATCCAAAAATGTGTTATTAGTCGGTGTTGGCATTCGCATAGAATATCATTCTAATAGAAATATGTATCCTGAAATTTGTAGAGAATCTGATTCTAACAGGATAAAATCGGGTTTAATTATAAAAATTACGTTATAATTAAAATTAAAGTAATTAAAAAAATTAGAATTTTAAAATCAAGAGAGTTAATTATCCCCAAAAAATATGGAATTTTCCTTTTTTAAATTTATCTCAATTGTCTAAAATACCCTTAGAATGAAATTAAATGGTATTTTTCAATTATCTTTAATTTAATAATATATATTAATCATTTTTTTAAATTAAGTAAAATGATTGGCCCACATTTATGCATACAATAACACAATAATTAGTGTAAATAGAATAACCTAAGCATATATATATATATATATATATATATATATATATATATATATATATATATATATATATATATATATATATATATATATATATATAAAGCTTCAAATATTCTAAATAATTATTATATGGATGTACGGCTAAATATGAGCCATCATTTTGAAAACATGGATTAGGGTAAAATTGTAATCTTAGCTTTTAATTAATTTTGGTAATTAAATATACAAATCATTAACCCCTTTAATTTAGGCAAAATCATTTACTGCTTTAAAACCCTACATAGAAGAAACATCGACCTTTAAATATCCATACGCCCAAAACCCTCCATTGTTACTCTCTAATTTTCAACTCAATTCTCCCCAAATCTCCAATCAATTCAGCAAATTTCACTATCGCCAGCTTTCAGATGAATTTTGCAGTGAGTATGACCATGCCGGCGTGTTTTCGCCGGAACATTGTTCCTTTATCGCAGTGCAGTTCATGTTGCGACATCCGATTCCAGCCTTTCATCTCTTCACCTCTTAGCATCCCATATGATCAAAATTTCGGCCTTAACAGACCCACCAAGCCCTAAATACCTTTATGGCGTGTTTTTGCTTAAGCCGAGAGAGAAAGAGGAGATTGTGATCGGGAGAAAAGAGCAGCAGATGTGGTGTCGATCCAAGGAGGAAGACGAGGCAGGAAAGGTCCAACAAGAAGAAGAATTTGATTATGGGATCGGCTACAGCAAGTAAAACTTCCCGGTTCTTTTTTTCTTTCTTCCTTTCCTTCTATCTTCCTTCTTCTCGATTTTTTTTCTCTAACTGAGGACCACCGTGGCCATTAGCCACAGTTACCATTGTTGTTCATCAACCACCTCCCTAGGGTGGTTGTGGGTGGTGTTCCAATTGGTTCCTTGTTAGTCTTTGATGAGAAGAAATCAAACCCTAGTTTAGCTACTGCTAAGACATCATTTTTTAGGGTTTGAAGTCAAGTCATTGGGTGATGACTTATTGGACTAGATGACGATGATGATAAAGTGATGCATATATTGCCCTCTTTCAGTTTACCTTTTTAGCGTGTCTAAACTCTGATTAGGCAAAACCCATATTTTGGTTCATGTGATTATAACGCATTAGCAGCTTGGGTTGTGGTGGTATGTTTCTTTAACAATGGCCAAACACAGGTTTTGCACATTTTAATGACAATCATCATTTTCTTTTCATAAAGGAGCCATATGAGGTGATTATATATTGGCTAGCTTGTTGAGGGCATGTTTTACTAATTTTGAATCAATTGATGTTAACACGTGAAAAAGACTGGTATCAAAAATTTGTAAGCTTCTTTTTGATAACATTTTAAGTGATTTAGTCACTAATGAATTTGTAACCTTCCGACTAGAAATTCTCATGTTTAAGCAAATTGTAATGTTTTTTTTTGTGTGTACAACAATGAAGCAAGGTTTAAGAAGGTTATAAATTCTTATGAAGCTATAAACTTTAAATGAAATAACATCAAGTAAAGAAAAAGAAGCTTCGTGAAGAATGGAAACTCGGTTTGAAGCCTGGTGAAGAATGGAAAGTAAAACAACAATATTCGTTCAGAGTGGATTAATATTTTTTTTCTGTCAGAATTATTAGCAATGATATTCTATCAAAATGTATTAGTGTTTACTTAGATTTCAATGTTTTTATTTGACTTACAATCATTCTCAGTTTTATTCTTTCAGAATAAATATAATTGTTAGCCATTATTATGTATATTATTTCAGAATGAATGTTATTTATGTATGTTCATAGTTTTATTTGTTAAGAACGAATGTAATCATTGATTTTAAGATATTAAAATTCTTTTCGTATAAAATTTGTATTCATTAAAAATTATTAATCTTGATAATATATGTTTATAATATTGTGTCAGAATTTAATGTTTTTTTTTCAAAATAATCATAAACACAATCTTTTAGAATGTCCGAATTAATATATTTATTATCCAAAAAATCAGATTTTTAAAGTTTAGAGAATTAATTATTCTTTCAAATCTGCAATTTTCTTTTTTTTAAATTTATTTTAATTGACTAAAATACCTTTAGAATAAAATTAGATGGTATTTTTTAATTATCTTTAATTTAATAATATGTATTATTCACTTTCTTAAAATAAGTAAAATTATTCGCCCACAATCAATCGTACATCCACATAATAATTAGTTACAATACAATAACCTAAGCCTATATATATATATATATATATATATATATATATATATATATATATATATATATATATACACACACACACACACAAGAGACGGTTCAGTTGAGATTAAAAAAAATAAAGATCTTGAGATTCAACTTCAATCGCATATTTCATATTTGTCGCTCTAACGCTCCAGCGTACCGGTAGCAACGGGGTATGCCTAATCATAAATGATTATATGGCAGAGAGGTCTAATCATATATGATTATAAATGTTTATACGTATATGCCTAATCATATATAATTATAACGGTTGGTAGCAAAATAGGTAGTGGTGGAAGAGGTGACGATAGTATAAGTGACAGAGGTGGTAGTTGTGTGGTTGGCTGGTAGTAGTGGTGGTGACGGTGGCGGTTGTGGTGGTGGGGAAGGTGGCGGAGGTGAAAGGAACCGGTGACGCTACATAATCATTTATGATTATAACTAACATGCAGCACCGATACCTTGGAGGGTTAGAACGATAGATGTGAATTATACAGCTGATGTTGAATCTCAAGATCTCTATTTTATTTTGAATCTCAAGGGAACCTATATATATATATATATATATATATATATATATATATATATATATATATATGAGTTTTAAATGTAAAATTATATATTATACATTTAAATATTTGTATTTTTGAAATGGTTTTTATTTGAAAAAGTTATGTAAGATAAATGGTAAAATGTGTAGAAAAAAAGTTTTTTTGACCAAATTTGTAGAGAAAAAAAAAACATTCGATGGTAGATCGAACACAAAAATAAGCTTAATAACTAAACATATATAAAATCCGGAAGTATGTTACCCTTACAAGTTATTATCTCTTTCTTTAAGACAATAATATTTTGTAAAAAACAATTAGTTTGTTACCATTTGGCATATTGACTAAAAGAAACAAACCCTTGTGTTCGTAGTGCTGCTGCCAACTATTTTTCGCCTGAGGAACTCTTTGAGATAACTGATCAAATTTCTCTTATTCCGATGAATTTAACTTGCATTAAATTTGATCTTTGCAGGTAACATTCCGTAGTGTTTTTTTTTTTTTTTTGAACTGCTTTAAATTTGAAGCTAAACACCAACTGGGGGAGAGAAATCTTTTCAAACACATGATACCGTTAGGTTACCATGTAGTTTAGAAAGTACCTTCAATTAGCTGTCCACATGGTAGATTTAGTGGCAGTGGTGGTGGCGGACCAATTGGAATCGCGATTTGGTTATGCTGCTGCTGCATCTGCATCTGGTCTGAGGTGTTTACTGATAGTGGTGGGAGTGACCTCTCCATCTCTCAGGCTGCTTAATTCCCTGTGTACTGATAGTACGCATGAGTAACCCCAGATACAATCATAAAAGAATGAACTTAGTAGACGATTTATTGAAAATACCTCAATTTATCCAACTGATTGAAACCGTACCAACAGCACCTTTTTTAGTCACTGTGAATGGATTTTTGAACGAAGAGTTAGACAAGAATTTATATACGGAGTCCTCTTGGGAAGTCAACGTACATAAAAGTCGAGGATAATTAAGTTGCGGAAAATGCGTTATATGCACGTTATTAAAGGGGAATAAACAAGTGTATTATCCTATATAATCTCCAGGACGGTGTAAAGTCTTTTATTATTACTTTCGTAGGTCTTTTTTTTTTCAAAAGATTAATAATATACTAAATTTATTTGATAAAAAATATTATCACTTATCAAGCGTTGTTTTCAATTGGTGTTTATTTTTTATTAAATTATATTTTATTCTACATTTTATTTATATTTTATAATTTTAACTAATTAATTTATTTCTTTTAACTTTAATATCAAGTACTAAATTTGTAACAATCATATAATGTATTTATTGTTTTATGTTTTTATAATCATAGTAGCCGTTACCCATGCCAAGCGCCAGATGACAAATAGTTTCTTTCGGAAGATAGTTTTAATATGATGATTAGTTTCCTTTAGACGTGAGATATTCATTGCGGCATTTTGGTAGATTAATTTTGTGTCAGATAGTGATGGGAAAACACAGCCACAACGGTAAATAACAATGCGAAATAATACTTCGTTTGACTAAACTATTCCCGTCTTGAATGAACCTTTTAGGATGCAAACAAATAGGATAATTTCACTTGCAACAAATCAGCCCTAATGCAAGTTATATGATCAATATAATCAACCCAAAACGATAAGTAATCAACCAATAAATACACCGGAATTTTAGCGTGGAAACCTCTCAAGAAAGGAGAGTAAAACCACGGGACTACTAGAGCCGCTTCAAATCCACTATCACCAATATTAGAGCAATACAAAGTCTTCTCTAGATGTACTAGAGGCATAGAATAATCATCATATACTTGGAACTAAATCACATCAAGCATATGGAATCAAATAAGCAAAGACAAAGAAAAATATCACCAAAAACGTTCCTGATTTCCAGCAGCAAACAGAAGCGATGATTCCCGAGTCTCTGGAGCTGATCGCGACAATTCAACCATTGGATCTGAAGGCCTCGATGTTGGAAGCTGCTGTCCAAAAATGAGAGAAAATGGACCGTTGGATCTCCGGGAAATTACCAAAAAATACAGGTGTATCTTCAAAAACGGGAATTGTGAAAAACCCTCTTTTGCTTCTTACTCTTTCTAACTTTCTTGGTGGCTGAAAAGTATTGTGTGTTGTTGAAATTAGGGCATGTAACACATATATATACATGGGCTAAAGAAGTGGGCTTTCCTCATAGGCTAAAAAACCCAAGAGAAAACCCAACAAATCTCCCCCTTTTTGGCCTATGAGAAAGAGTTCACCATCCCGGCGATTGAGCAACATATCTTCAACTTCTCCATTGCTAAAGCTTTAGTCAACATATCGGAACCATTATCATCAATATGAACTTTCTCAAGTTCAAACAAGTTGTCTTCAAGAGCATCTCTAATCCAATGATACCTCACATTGATATGTTTTGTTCTTTTGTGAAACATAGAATTCTTAGCAAGGTGAATGGCACTTTGATTATCACAAAGAACCACGTAGCGTTGTTGTATAAATCCAAGCTCTTGCATAAATCTTTTTATCCACAATAACTCTTTGCATGCTTCTGTTGCTGCCATATACTCAGCCTCAGTGGTGGACAAGGCAACACACTTTTGCAGTCGTGACTGCCATGACACAGCTCCCCCTGCAAAAGTCATCAAATATCCAGAAGTGGATTTCATGTTGTCCTTATTTCCTGCCATATCAGAATCTATATAACCAACAAGCATAGGTGCTCCATTTCCAAATGTTATACCCAATTTTGAAGTACCACGTAGATATCTGAAAATCCACTTAACTGCTTCCCAATGCTTCTTTCCCGGATTTGACAAAAACCGACTAACAACACCAACTGCATGGGCAATATCTGGCCTTGTACACACCATTGCATACATCAAACTCCCAATGGTTGATGCATATGGAACTCTATCCATCTCTTCAATCTCCTTCTTAGTAGAAGGGTAATCTCTATCAGTCAGCTTAAAGTTGGTAGTTAGAGGCGAACTAACCACTTTAGCTTTATCCATGTGAATCTGCAAAGCACCTTCTCAATGTATTGCTCTTGTGACATATGCAACTTCTTTGAAGCTCTATCTCTAGTAATCCGAATGCCAAGACTCTGTTTTGTCGGCCCCAAGTCTTTCATAGCAAAAGACTTGCTCAATTGTTTTTCAGCTGAACAATTCTCTCCGCATTCTTGCCAACAATCAACATATCATCAACATAAATCAACAAAATTATGAAATCATTGTCACACCCCAAAACCAAGAACGGCGGAAACGTTCAGGGGTGGAGGATGTCATGTAAAGTATCATAACAGTGCAAAGTAGTAAACAAGCAACAACATCATCCATTGCATTAAAAGTAAAGTTTTAATACATGAGTGTTCTTTCATAGTAATAAGACACCAAAATATGTAATAAAAATAAAAGACGAGTCTTGTCTGTGCTCCGTCTTCTCAAAACCTGGTCATCGTACCTGTCTACTGGTGACCTGAGAATACAAGTTATTTTGAAAGTGTAGATCAACATAAAGCTGGTGAATTCATAAGTACTATGGTGCCATTGATTTGAAAAGTTGTTATGAAAGACTTGTAAATATTTGATGAAACATTTAGTATAAGTGTGAAAACCCTAGAAAATCCCATATTTCCTACTAGTATAAAAGCTAGTCTTATACCAAGACCTGAATGTTTTGAAAGTTGCATTTCTGTATCAATGAAAGTTTTTCCCATGTGCGACTATTATTATAAAAATATATAGTCTACCTCATCGTTTATGTGAATGTGTCACAAAATAAAAGTAAAAGGGAAATTATATAATCATTTAAGTATTATCCTTTGGTACTAGGATAAACACGACATAGTAATTGCCGAATAGTATTAACCGTAGACATCCGTCGATGTGCATTTTCCCTCTGTAGCTAACAGCTGGGTGTAGAATGGTTAGTCCCGTACATATATAATAGTATCTACACATATAATATGTAATAGTATCTCATCATATAGTATCTATGTAACAGAATCCATGTAAAAGTATCCATGTAATGGTATCCATGTAATAATATCTCTTCATATAGCATGTAATGTATTAGTATAGACTCATGAATGAACTGACTCTTGTGTAATTCCTTGTAATAGGAATAGTAGTTTGTATCCCCTAAACTATACCTATAATAGTTTACTGGAATGTAAAATGAATGTCCAAGTAGGTTTATACACCCTTGCTACACAAGAGTGTTGGAACTGAAGAAAGAATGAAAGTTCTCATATCAATACATATGCATATGAAACATAAGTGTATAGATATGGTTTTTAACAATAAGTTGAAAGAGGTTTTGTAAAACATTTAAGAGTTTTGAACAATAAATAATGATGAATTGATGTCAGTTTATAAAATATTCAAAAGCAAATCATTTGATAACAAAGTATAAAACAGCCGAAAACTATTGTATTTATCACATTTTTGAAGTATGTGAAATCAGTTGGTTGAAAACACAGTTATAAATCACATGTGATTGATTCTATAACTTCCTGTTTTCTACTTGTATTCCCCCCCCCCCCCATGAAAGCATTTAAAATCATTTAAAAGATTGATTAAGGGGTATGAACTCACCTGTAGTGGGTGGTTGTGGATGAACTGAATGATGTAGGATCCTAAGTGTCAAGTGAAGACTTGTACACACACAATGATCCTAGTTAACATATAATCCCATATATGTATCCAATTAGTCATAAAACAACTAATTAACCAAGTTTAAGACATCCTAAGACATGTAAAACACTTGATTTAAGTGCTATAAGTCATAAGGATTTCATCTAAGGGTGGTAGGACCTTGCTATTGAGTTTGGGGTTCAAGGGTAAACTCCCTTGGAGTTTACGGTTTTGTGACCATAAATCCTTGAGGTTACGGTCGTAAACCCATGAGTTTACGGCTGTAAACTCATGTTTCTTGACCATTTCGTGTTCTGAAGCCTTAAAGATCACAAGAAGCATTCCTACTTCATGTTTAAGCCTTAGGAAGAGGTTAGGGCCCCATTTCACTCCTTTTTAGGAGTTTACGGTCCTTGGACCATTTCCCTTTGGGTTTACGGCCTTAAACCCAAATGGTTTGTGGTCTTTTGATGTTTTCAAGTCCTAAACACATTAGGGAAGGTATATCTAGGCTAGTTTCCAAGGCTTCGAAGGGACTAGGGCACACTTTGGCACCCTTTTTAGGGTTTACGGTCCAAGGTGTTCTTGGACCGTAAACACCTTTGATCCTTGGTTTCCTTGGTGTTTTCTTGATGTATAGAAGTGTAACAAGCCTTATTATACTCTAGGATAGAAGTACTTACAAGATAGAGGCTTGAAAAGGTGCTAAAAGTCCAAGAACACTAGTGTGTGTTCTTGGTGAAACTTGAAGATCTTACCTTTTGGAATGATTTCACGGATGGAAGTGTGTTAAATCACTACATTAAGTAATATATCAACTTATTAGGGCTAGAAACACTTACAAGTTGAAGATCTTGAAGAATTGTTGGATGATACTTGAGAGAGAATTTGATTTTGGATCTTGAAAATGTGAAAAGTGATAAAATATGACTAAGTGTCATATTTATACCCCCTTTTAGGGTTTACGGCCGTAAACACCCTTGTTTAGGCCGTAAACTCCAAACTCTTGGAGTTTTGGAATATTATTGTTGCACAATAAACCCTAGGGCATCCTCTCTCCTGATATCTCCTAAACTACTAACTTAAAAAATACTCAAACTTATTTCTAAAAGCTTGAAAGTTAGGAGAAACAATTCTGACTTCCATTGAAGTGAATGGTTGTACGGAATAGAAATTTCGGGTTGTCACATCATCCCCCCGTTAGAAGGAATTTCGTACCGAAATTAGAGTTTAAGCAAATAAGTAGTTACAAATAACTAAGTAAAAAGATGAGGATATTTCAGTTTCATCTGATCCTCTCGCTCCCAAGT